AAAAAAAAAAAAAGGAGCGAGCTCCCAGCCTTACTGGAGGGGATCCAGCTGCTAAAAATAGCAAAATCACACTCGAAATTAAATAAGGGCAAACAGGCTAAGGGGAGCTTCCAGCCCTTGCGGCCGGGGGGAGGAGGAGCCGGGCTGCATCACGGCGGGGGCGGGCGGCGGTGAGCTAACGGGGGCCCGTGGCTACCAGTCAGCTGGAAACACACCCCCCCCACCACCACCCCCCCCAAACCTCGGGGTGCTGCGGGGATGCTCCTGGCTGGGGGGAGGGTCGCCCCCGACCTGGCCTCGGCGCTGGGCACACCCCCCCCATTGCCCTCCCCCCTCGGTATTTGGGGCTGGATGGAGGGATTTGGTATCACCGCGGGGACGAGCGCGGTGCCATGTGCCGGCCCCACCACCGACGGGCAAAGCACCCTGGTCCTTCTTTTTCCTGCCCCCCTGCCAGGGTAAACCCCCCCCCCCAAAGACCCTCCGGTCCCCATCTGAGGCACCACCAGCGGGTGCTCCATCCCCGGGGCATCCCAGGGCCCAACAGGCCTTGTCACAATATTTATTTCATTTTTCATTGCAGCAGCAGAAGCAGGAGGCCGGTGGGGAAGTGAGTCCTGCAGGGCTGGGATTTCGGGAGCTGGTGAGGCCCCGAGGCTCTCTCTCGGGGTTTAAGTGGTTGGTGGGGTTGGTCTGCAGTAAAAGAGCTTTATTTTGAATTCCTACTGTCTCTTTTGGAAGTGGATTGGGTCAGTCTGGAATAGGAGCCGAGATCAGCTCTCCAGGTGGGTACCCCAAAAAGCAGAGCCTCGTTACATCAGGGGCAAGGTTTTCCAAGGCATCAGGCATTTGGGATCTCATGGTGGGTTTTTTAGTGGGATACAAAGAAATCCAGAGTATCCTGGTCACTGAGAGCATCCTGTCAGTGACAAATGCCCCCAAACTCCTGTGGAAACTCCCATCACAAATTTAATGCAAACTCTGATTTAGGTGCTTCTGACCATCCTGATGCTAAGGGTCAAAATCTGGAGTTAGGAGCCAAAACTTAGACTGGCTGAAGTTTCAGGCAAGTTTTTGTTAAATTAAAAGCACCTTTATAAAATGTGAAACTTGGAGCTATGAACATCTGCATGTGCGAAACTTCTTCAGTGGGGAAGATTTACAACGTGAAAAGAAACAAATCAAACCGAGCCAGGCTTGGGTGTTTTTGTTTTTTTGGTTTTTTTTGCTAATTGTTATTTGGATTTTTAAAATCCCCTGCAAATTCCCCTGCCTAAAACACAATCAGAGCAGTGTCCCTTTCTGATGATTAAAAACCGAAAGCAAAGAGGAGGGGGGAGAAAAAAAAAATCCACCCTGTAAGAGGCTGAATTGTTTTCGGAGGCCTGCAAACAGAGCAGGCGTCGCCCCGCTGGCACCCACGTGTTTTGGGGCTGCAGCTCCCCGACCTGGGCATGGACGTGGGTCTCCATCCGAGGGCCTTCATCAGGGCAAGGTGGTGTTTGCAGACCCTGAGTATTGGGGGGTTTTTGGCTGAAATCGGCGTTCCCCTCCAGCTGGATTTTGGGGGTACCAGGGTGCCTTCTGCCTGCAGCAGCCCCAGCCCTACTTGGGCTTCCCCCCACTTTTGCCTGGTGAGGAATTTGGTTCCTGTCCCTGGCACAGGCTCGTTGTTATTAATATCCCTCGTTATTTATTCCGGGCGGTGAATGGCTGTAACCGGAGAGCTGGGAACAACCGGGGCTGCTTTTTTTTCTTGCTTTGAGCCCTGACACTTTTTGGCAATTCCCCGCTCACCGGAGCCCACGCTGGAGCCTCCCTGAGCGGGGTTCACCCGTGGGGTCACCACTTGGGTCTTTACAGCAAAATAATGCTGTGGTGTGTTCCCCCCCTCCCCAAAACTAAAGAGCAGCGTGAGATGCTGCCAGAGGCGATGGGAAACCAGCACGTGGCTGGGTGCAAGGGGGCAAATGGAGAGATTTAGGGAAATGGGATTTTTTTGGTGCTCAGAGCCTGTTTGCCAGGATGGGAGGACCCAGGGATTTTTGGGAATAGCCTGGCAATGCACGGCACTGAGGGCTGCACCCGCGGGGAGGGGGCTGCGGGGCAGTGCCCCCCACTTTAAAGGGAAGGAGAGGGGTGGGTGTGCGACGGCCGTGCGGGGGGTGAGCGGCACGAGGCTGCTGGGGTTGGAGCAGAGCCTGGTGCTGGGCCTGGGGTTTCAGGCCGGGAAAAGGTCATTTTCACTTTTTTTTTTGCAGTTTTTCCCCGAGTTCCAGCCTGCGGCCGGGGGGGATCTGGGAGCAGGATGGGCGAGGACCCCACAACCTGCAGTTCAGTTCTGCGGGGCGACCAGAAAGTGAAAATGGCTGGAAATAGTGAAACTAAAAGTGATTTATTGTGGTTTT